CCTAGTCTCTACCAATCACCCGCAACATATATATTACTCATAACTTCTTATTTCGATTCAAAAATACATGAAATCTGTAAATACAACTAATACAAGATACCTACTTATGTTATAAAACGAGCATCACGTAACCAGATTTTGAAAAAATAAAAAGTGCATCGAAATCCCAGCTTTAATCATTATACTTAACATAAAATATCAAAAAATGAATAACATTTTTTTCCGACTGACTTTTGTTACACTAGATTATCAAAACTATGAACGTTGCTTATATAATAATTTTATATCATGTATGACATGTAGTGGTAGCATAGACATATAAAAGAGAATCTTTATATGTCTATGAGTGGTAGTAGGTAGAGTCAAATGTAGCAGCGTCAACTAATTTTTTTCGTGTTTAACACACGGTGAGTAAACTACTAAGCCTAGTACATTGAGCTAGTTTGGTAATATAGTCGTCAGTGAATTCGAGGGCGAGCAACTGTATAGTAAATTTGCCTATTGTATTCTAAACTTTAATATTATAACTATTGGTTTAGAATACATATTTATACTAATGGTACGCACTATCATTGATTATAAATAGGTAAGTATACTATTTATAATTATGTACGTACCTATAATCAATGTATAGTAGATACTAGTTATTTTGATTACATTTTATATTATACCCACTTTTCATAGGTGGAAATGTAGTGGAGGTTAAGTGGCTAAGCCACCCTTATCCCCGAATGACATGCAGTTGTTTATTCTGTGGGGGCAAAGACCTCTGGCTTACATCGATGATAAAAATGTTAGCCCCTCTTGTTACCAACCTTGTTTACCATGGATTTTGGTTCTCTGTAAGCCTGTCTATATATACGTCCGTATTGTTTCAAGGTATAAACAATATGTGTTTCCTCAAATTTCGACCTTGTAAACGACTTTGAGCAAAACGATTCGTGTATATATAATATATATATATGCCATTACATTACTCATTATTATAGCCTAATGGGTACTAGCCACTAGACGATAGGCATTAGGCATAGAAAATTATAGATGTCTAGTCTAGACAGTCTAGGGTCTAGGTGATACATAATGGCGTGATGGCGATACCTATTATATTATGTTAAATTACGAATAATTAGATGTTGCAAATTGCAACGATGAGTTGTTGTAGAACTGCAGAAGGTTGTATATTTGAAAATGAAGTAGTGTACGTGTGTATATAATGTAAATTAAG